TAGTACTTATTTAATTACTGAGAATAAGTTATTTGAAAAAAGTTATCAGTAACGATGTCTCAAGTCAGATCTAATAATACGATTATTTTCAGTGTTTCACAGCCGCAGACACAAGACAGACACGAGAATAATTTAGCAAAATGTGTACCGTCTTCTCGAAAGCTATTTCGATGTTTGCCAAAAATAGATTGCATCGAGTCGGTTCATCGTTTTTTTAAGATCAAGAGCGACCAGTTTTGCTGAAACTTCAAATATCGTTTTTCCGGGCCGACTTTCATTTCGTGTCGAATTGTGTGATTGAGCAATTCGTGTGGGCTGTTCCTATTTGCAGACACGATCTGGCCTCAAGATGTCTTTTGCGGATCAAATTGTCGAAACTTTTTATGCACTTTTTATGCAAGTCTGTGCGTGTGTGTGTGTGTGTGTGTGTGAAGGTGTGTTTTGAGTGTGTGTGCGGCGACGCTTCTCTTCGATTTCGCAATACCGGGCGACTGTCGGCCTGACTAGAGCCTGCATGGCCTCATTCGGTACCTTTTTGCGGTCACGAGTCTGCCGGAGTCAAGCCGAGTTCGAGTCCCTTTGCCGACGTGACATTGACCCAATTTGGACGAGCAAAGAGCCAATCCCCACAAAGCATCACTCATGTCTTTCCGCTTAGCAACCACTGGACACGGGCTCGGAATCCCGGACTGGCGGCTTTCTCAGTTCTCCCACCGTGCCTCGACTCTGCGGACGCACCAATCGCCTCACGCAACTTCGCCTCAACCTGTCGATCATGAATGACCAGTTAAACTGTCGCCGGGTCGGTCGGACTGTCTATCTGTCTGTCTGTCTGTCTATCTATCTATGTGTCTGTCAGTTTGTATGTATGCGTGCCACTGTGTGTTGTGTGGGTGTATGTATCTGTATGACCAATTATGCTGTCGTCGGGTGGGACTGTCTATCTGTCTGTCTGTTTGTCTATCTATCTATGTGTCGGTCAGTTTGTACGTATGCGTGCCCCTGTGTGTTGTGTGTATGTATCTGTATGACCAATTATGCTGTCGTCGGGTGGGACTGTCTATCTGTCTATATGTTTGTCTGTATGGTTGTCTATCTATCTATGTGTCTGTCAGTTTGTACGTATGCGTGTCCCTGTGTGTTGTGTGTGTGTATGTATCTGTATGACCAATTATGCTGTCGTCGGGTGGGACTGTCTATTTGTCTATATGTTTGTCTGTATGTTTGTCTATCTATCTATATGTCTTTCAGTCAGTCTGTCTGTCTGTTTTTATGTATGCATGCTTCTGTGTGCTGCGTATATGTATCTGTATGACCAGCTATTCTGTCGCCGGGTGGGACTGTCTGTCTGTGTGTTTGTCTATATGTCTGTCGGTTTGTATGTATGCATGCCTATGTGTGTATGTGTGTTTGTCTGGCTGGCTATGCGGAGTGTATGCAGGGCTTCACGATCGTTGTTGGTGGATAGATGGACTGTCAGGCTGTTGAGTCGTGTCAAGAGCAGTTGACGTTGGACGGCGTCAAGCCTCGCCTTAGTGTCCATCATCCAGATCGTCCTGTGACTGGCCTGTATGGTTGGGTGGGGAGAGGGGGGCGGAGCAGAGCGAACGGCTACGCGGCATCGATCGAAGCGTGCGCAGGCCCGGAAGCGAGGGCCGTTGTCGAACGGCGAACGGCGAATGGCAAAAATGATGGTCTATTTCGTCGGGCTGTCTTTGCGTTTACAGCCGTCGTCGTCGC